GCTAGTGACTAATCTCAGAGGAACATGCACTAGTGTCGATCGTTTACGGGCCAGAAGTGACGGGGGAGTTCAGTATCAACATCAATTCAGGCTACTTGTTCCCTTCCAAATGCGACACAAACAGGTGCTTTACGTTATTGGACATATCTTGATCATCTGGAATGGGAAATTTTTGCTTATTATGAGAGAGGTCTAAGCGCTGTGCCACTTGGAAATGGTTAAGTAGACAGAAAGTTTTACGCAAGCCTCCGCACGACAGCGGTTGCTGTGAAACGTTTTGTTTTCGGCCAATCATTGTTCCCAACTGATTGTTTCTCTAAGGAATGCTAATACAGTGGGGCACCAAAAGAAACGGTAATCGCCTTTTTTACATACAAACACACCTACTTTGTACCACGATAACTTAACGAGTTTTTATTCTAATATTATATAAAAAAGGCCTCTATATATTTTATATATTTAACGCTTTTTGTACTCTTAGAAGAAGAATTATTTTGTTATTTAAATATTAAATTAAACAGTTAAAAAGTAATAACCGTCGAAAATTATGTTATAGTGGGTTATAGTGCATTTATAGTGGACGTAGTTTTTAAAAAGCAGACACTTACTTTTTAATACTTCCACATATACGCTCAGAACCTCTTAAAATAATATAAAACATTATAAATAAGTTAGTTAACTAACTATTTTAAAAGTTATTTATAAGTAAGAATAATTTGACTGCATAGTTTGACTAAATTAACTATATGCTATTGTTAGACGGGACCTACTTTTTTTTTAGCTAATTAGCTCAATTTACTTAATTACTTCATTTAACGTTACTTTAACTTAATTAAGCTAAATTAATAGAAATTTGAGATTTAAGTTAATTTATCAATTACCATACTTTTCGTTAAAATAATTTCTCGCACGATAGCTTGAAGAGATAGGTGGTAATATTCCTATAAAAGAATATTAAAAAAGTTAATGTTCATATAAAAGCAAGAATATATGAATATAAGAGTAGTTAAGTGTTACGCCCGCCGCAACTTGTCACTGTGGGCGCGTAGCTATATATGCAGAACAAGGGACAACGATGACCGGAGTCATCATTATCGAAGCTTTTGCTTTGTGCCACAGTTGGTTGCCTTGTCCAGCTCGTAACACAATGATGACTCCACCCTGCGTAGAGGGGTTGTGGGTTCGATTCCCGCACGCTGCGTCGATAGTGTGATTGTGCCTCCCACACTATGAAGGGCGTCCCGACCGTAGGCAGCACGTGTAGGACTGGTTACCCCGCACCTATGCTGGAGTTTCCCTGCTTATACCCGAAATGTCCGATTGGTCCTCGGCATAGGGACATGCCTCTTGGAGGGGAGATGTGGTGTTACGCCCGCCGCAACTTGTCACTGTGGGCGCGTAGCTATATATGCAGAACAAGGGACAATGATGACCGGAGTCATCATTATCGAAGCTTTTGCTTTGTGCCACAGTTGGTTGCCTTGTCCAGCTCGTAACATTAAGCATATATAAAAGAGATTTATAAAGGTAAAGAGAGAGTATATAACTAGTTAAATTACTATATAAGAAGTTGCTTGCTTAACTAAAGGTCTAAGTAGGTAAAACAATGCCCTTATATAGGCATAAAATCCTTCAACTAGAATATGCCATTACTTATTAATTATATCATAATTAAAAAGCATATAACGTGGTTCATCAGTCAGCGACGAATATCAGTCAGCGACGAACTTTTTCCCAAATGCGGTTTGCATTAAACCACTCCAACCTTTGACGCGTAATAACTCCACAACCATTATGCCAATTTACACACAAGAAGACAAGATACTTCTAGCCATCGAGACTATCTGATCAGCCCGCGCCGCCGGCCGAAAACTAAGTGTGTTGCGTGCTGCGAAGACTTACGGTTTCCCCGAAAGTTCCGTATGTTATAGAATGAACGATCGACCCCGACGCGAACGTGCCCAACCCCAACGACATAAACTTGATGCGATCGAAGAGAAAGCGCTTCTCTAATACGTTATTAAGCAGGATCAAAGAGGGTTTCCCTTATGTCTCGCTGGTGTGGAAGATATGGCCAATCTCCTACTACGAGCGCGTAATGGCAAGCCTGTTAGCAAGCGATGGGCCAGGCGGTTTGTGGACTCGCAGCCTGCTCCAAAAACCAAGTTTAATCGTCCATACGATTATCAAAGGGCTCTCCAAGAAGATCCTGAGGTTACATCAAAGTAGTTTGCGCTATTACGCAATATAATGGCCAAGTATGGTATCCAAGAGGGGGACCTATATAATTTCGACGAAACTGGCTTTATGATGGGCATGATCACCGCGTTAATAATAGCGCTGATCGACGCGGCAAAGCAAATTCTATCTAGCCTAGCAACCGTAAATGGGCTACATTCATTGAATATATCAATTCGGGCGGGTAGTGCATCCCTCCGTTGGTGATTATCAAAGGCGCATATCACCTTACTAGTTGGACCACGGAATCAGGTTTTCTTAGCGACTAGGTTATCAAACCTACCAATAATGGATAGACGGATAACGTTAATCAGACGGGTCTTAACTAGATTAAACAATTCAACAAACATACTAAGAACCAAACGAAGGGCGTCTACCGGATACTTATTATCGACGGCCACGAGAGCTATTTATCGGCGGAATTCGACAATTACTACAAGCAGAACAATATTATAACCGTCAGTATGCCTACACATTCGTTACATCTACTACAGCCATTAGATATTGCCCTTTATTCGCCTTTAAAACGCGCATATAGTGATGAAATCAACCTATTCGTCAAAGCCTCCATAAACCACATCACCAAGTCGGAGTTCTTTATTGCCTTCTACCAGGCCCACAACAAAGTTTTTAATAAAGAAAACATTAGGGCTACTTTTTAAGGCGCTGGAATTTCACCATGGAACCTAGAGCATGTTATTGAAAAGCTTGATATACGTTTACGGACGCCTATACCTCCTATGGCCAACCCTTCAACACCACCACCTTGGCAGTCGCAAACGCCCTCTAACCTACAACAAACCGTCTCGCAGTCTAATTTTATCAAAAGTCGGATCACTGCTCATCAAGGAAGCTCACCAACGCCAATTATTGCTATGGTTAAGCAATTGTCAAAGGGTACGTAGGCAATAGCGCACTTAATCACTCTTTTGACTGATCGGCTTCGTACCCTTAAGGATGCGAATATTTCACTTGGTAAGCGCCGGAGGGCTAAAAGGACGCGGGTCCAGCTTGGAGGGGCGCTTAGTATAGAGGAATCTCAGGTTTTGCTTGAAGGGAAACAAAAAGGGAAACGTCCAGCACCTCAAGAGGATGAGGAGGGGGGTCCATCAAAGAGAGCCCAGCCAGCTCGGAGACGCTGTGGTGTGTGTGGCGAGACCGGTCATAATGCGCGAACCTGTTCTAAGGATACGGAATTGTCAAATGATTCGAGTAGTAATGAGGAATAGTTAATTCAATGTGTTGTGGTTGTGCAATAGTAAATACCATTACGTGCATGGGAAAAAGTTCGTCGCTGACTGATATTCGTCGCTGACTGATGAACCACGTTAGTCCATAGTTAATATAAGTATTAACTCATTCATGATCGGCTCGTGAACTAGGTCTTTATAGTATAATCGGTCTATTCGTGATATAATTAGTTAATCGTTCTTCTATTATTATCTACATTCTGTGTTCTCCTTTCCAGATGCAGCCAGGAATATCCCTCATCTAAGGCACCTGGATTACTGTATTTTCATTGGTTGGTCTCACCCGGACTATTATGGGTCCAGATTGCTCGTTCTGGTCCGAGCATACCCGCCCAATTCCACTTCCGCACTTCAACACTATTATCTGACTGATGGAATCGCGAATTGCCTCTCTTTTGACTGTTTGTTTGGCTGATTGAACTGATAGATCTGTTACGGTAGCTGCGCTGGTTAGATATTACGTGCTAAGGAACCATCTTATCTTCGAGACGCTCGACGCCGGCTATCCCAATCTCCCATCGCGCTGTAGTCTCAAATCATCTGCATCTTGACATGTACATGGAAAGCGCACTGTAGATGTCCGAAAGAGACACTCGTCCGCCCCCGATGGTCCTGTTCCTTTGGACTGCGACTGGCCTTTTACACTCCAACGAACTCTATCATACATCTTAGAGCCCGGACAGCCGTCCATTGTTGTCGTGGAGGTCGGTTTGAGGGATATGGGTAGACCAAGAGTACGACCTGATGTTCGTCGGCGGGTCGTCCGAGCTTGCGAGCCTCGCAAGGCCGCAAAGAGACGCTGCAATGGACAAGCTCCGTGTTCGAGATGGGCCAGAGAAAATCGTGTCACCTACTGCAGCTACCAAATGCGCCCGATCAACCTCGAAGACCGCCAAGAGTCCCATCCTCACACTCTGAATAGGGAATGCTTACATGTACGGAAAGGACATCGGGGCTGGCCAGCAGCTACGGGGAGACCGAGCAGATGTTTCGCGTGACGTTTCTCCTCCCCAGAACTCATGACTTGGACCCTTTCATACTACGTTACGTACACATGTTCTTGACCCCGAGGAGCGAAAGAACCAAGTGTTCACTTTCAGTAGCGAACGAAATCTTGGTTATCCTTCGTCAGGAACGTTATGTCACAGACCAATATTTATTTGTAGGAGGGACTCGGTAACGGTTTGCAATGGTGTAAACAGAAATTTCCATTTACGCCTACAAAAGGTCAACTATCTTTGCTAAGTACCTTAGAGGGAAGTGAAGTAAAAGTCAGGTCGGGCAAAGATGAGTGACAGAGACAAGAGCAGCGAAAACGAACCGTAAGGACAGGAAGGTGTCAAACAGAGGAGCAGATCTGATGAAAATGAGGCGCGGAATAGAATCGTTGCGCGGAAAAGTGCATACTGAATTGGGGACTGGGTAAATAAGTCAAAGGCATCGTGACATTCGGGCTGACAGCTCAATAAGCAACTCGAGGTGTGACGCCAGGGAGAGTTCGCGCCAAACAGCTCAGGTAGACTGCTGCTGCTCCTGTTTCCGCTCCTCGGCTTCTCTCTGAGTGTCGGAATGTCTCTGATCATGGACTGCTCTCTTCTTTTCGAATTCTCTACACATTTTGAGTTCTTTCTGCGCATATGCGTCCTGGGTACCAAGAACACCATCCAATACCTCCTTTTCCCTATTCCACGCCTCTATATCGTTGAATTTTGGAATCTCAATCTGGTACTTTTTCGCCGCTTCCGGAATTTCTTCCATCTCGTTGATAGGCTTCCACATCAAAAAGACATCTTTGATCCTTCGTACTGTATTCTTCATAGATGCAGCTGATTCGGGATCTGGGTTGTCCTCATCAAGAAGAGTGGCGGCGATTTGAAAGACGAGATTAGAGTGGTACAAGCGAATCATTGACACGAAATGGTCGAGGTTCCTGTGGCGCTGAAAATATTCCTCCAATATCTCAGCTGTCAATTTACTCTTTTGGAATTTCTCCCAGATGGCTTGGTGCCTTGCCTCGCGCAAAAGTACGCAAAAGGCTTCGAGCCTTCCAAAGGCTTGCTCTTTCAGAGTGAAGGCCATCCAATCTCCCATTTCGTGCATTTTGAGCGTTTCAATCCAAGGGAGGCCTTTTTCATTTTGTCGCTTGTAAGTTCTGTAGCGGTGGTTGCGCTCATGGTACAATTGTATCATGTCGAACGAAGGGTAACGAAGTGCAAACGCCATGTTCGATTCCGCTTTCGATTCCATTGTATAGAGCTTTCAATGTGAAATAAGGTGAAGGTTTTGAGTGATGAGCTTGCTGGGTGGGTGCAAGATTGATAAGGTGATGATGTCTATTGGGCAAAAGATGTTTTCCGGAAAGAATTAGAGCGCAGCATCTTATAAATAATTAGTGATGAGTCTGTGACTGATAGAGAGGCCGTTCATGCCAGCAGTGACACTGAGAGGAAGTCAAGAAGGTCCAGGAAACGGTTCAAAATCTGCGAATAACTGAATATCAACAAGAAAGGGCAATTCATGTGCGATGTTTCATCAGTCAGGTCAACTTTCTTTCATTCCTGGGCTCGTGAGAGCTCTGTATTACATCTTACTGCCAAAGCTCATCAACCCCCCTGGACGGTAAAGCTTTTTTATGTTACCACTCGTGACTTGAGGCCTCTTCATACCTCCGTCAAACCTCCTGATCGATTTACTCTTTGTTGTTTTCGTTCAGACTCACCTTCTCCTTCTCGAGTGTTTGCACGTTCTTGATGACTCTGGCAGGATTGCCCACCGCCACCGAATGAGGCGGCAAGCTCTTTGTCACGACAGAGCCAGCACCAACAGTTGTGCCCGATCCAATGGTGACACCAGCCAGGATGATTGAACCGCCACCAATCCAACAATCGTTTCCAATGGTCACCGGAAGACCATACTGCTCGCCTTTCGACCGGGAAAGCATGCCGGTCTCGTGGACTGCAGTGTAGATGCTCACGTTAGGTCCGATGAGAACATGGTCGCCAATGGTGACAAGACTGATGTCGAGAATGGTCAGACTGCACACATTCATTAGAACTCCGTCTTTCTCCCTCGGAGGTATTCACGCGATGAGATGTTTGAAGCACCAGGAGGACATACTTGAAGTTGGCAAAGACCCTGGAGCCAAAGATGATGTTACAGCCGTAGTCGACCAACAAAGGACCCTCGACGAACGACCGCTCGCCGAATTTGCCCAGAAGCTGCTGCAGAATCTCTTTCTTCTTCCTGGCCACCTCCTTAGAAGTGTTCTGGCGGTGGTCAATCTCGTTGAAGTCGCGCATGAGGCAGCGGGCTCGGTGGCGGGCTTGGTCGAGGATCGGGTCGAGGGGGTTGTACATCATGCCCGATACCATGTGCTCGTAGTTCTCGCCAGACGGTTTGTCTTCGATGGATTTCAAGATCTCGAGGACCTTGTCATCCTTCTTGTCTTTGGCGACCATCGTGATGATGTTGTGAGTGTCAATTTTGAGGGATGTTGGTGTAATAGGGAAGGGTGGAAATGGCGAAGGGGAAACGAGGAGACTGCTCGTCGAATTTAGACTCTTGTTGGGTTGAAAGTGGTTGCGTGGGGGAACTTTATGGGCGTAGGTCACGTCTCGCGGAGCCGATAGAGAAGGGAGTCAACGTCGTTCTTGCCCTTTCACTGCTCAAGGAAATAGGTCAGGCACTAGGGTTGGGCCTCAGGCAGTGAAGATTGAAGAGATGTTGATGGCATTCACTGTCACTGCAGGACCTTCACGGAAATATTGGCCTATGAACTTATAGAAGCGGCGGAATAGGCCCAACTGTGAATATGTGTTTTTTTAGACGAGCCAGTAACACCGTCCAGAATTAGCTGGACGCAGACCCGTGTTCGAGGCTCTTCACTTCGGATTCAGCCCAATGCATGGATGCCAGGATCCTCTGCAAATGGGTCAGTAAGGACTAGGGAGAGGGCTTAAGCAACAAAGGAGCAGCTCGTATATATGTCACACAGGGAGCACACGTCTAGCTAGGGGGCAGATTTCAGTAATTCATCATTTGGACCCTAACAGCAGTTGGTCTCTGAGAGCTTCCACCCTGTGTCACACTATTATTTGACAATGGATTAGCCATCGTCTGTACATCAGAAACTCATATTCATAAGCTATCTTAACACCCAAACCAGATGTAACGTCGCTCCCAGCCAAACAATGCGCCTCGCAAGGGAGAAATTGCCATTTCAAAAGCCAAAGAAGCAATATCGCTATATCAGCCACCTGTAACATAGTTCCTTCTACTCTCCAAACGCTGTCGCGTGTTCTGCAACCTCTCCTCATCCATGGCAGACCGCCACGTGCAGTCTCCAGCGAACTCGCACATGCGGCACTTGTACGCCTCCTCAATCTGCACACCCCGCGGCTGCCGATCCGCTCGCCACCACTCCATCGTGCTGCCCAAGTAGAGGTTCAGCGCCCGGTCGTCCATGGGGAAGACCTGGCTGTCAATGAGCGAGCCATCTCCACGGTATCTGTACTCCACAGCAAGGAGTCGACCCACGGAGTCGGCTCCATGGGGGAAGGTTTGGCGCAACTCCGATATGAGAAGTAGCAGCAGTTCTCGGAGTGTCCTGTATTTGATGAAGTCCGGTGCCGAAGTACCTCGGTTCTCTTCATCTGCTTCAGTATCGAACGTTGCTGTGATGGGAGACGGCGGGATGTAGTCCCCATCAGGCGAGGAATCCACATCGAAGAATAGTTCGTCGTGCAGGCTGCCAATCTGGGCAATGAACGAGTCAGAAAACGGCACGTCTGGGTCCAGACCGTAGCGCCGGAAGATACGAAGGTAGTCCAGCTTATCCGCTGCCATTTCTGACAGGAAACGCTGGTACAGGAAGAGCTGGACCTTTGCGGGCCGCAGCAATGCAGGGCTACTTGGTGCCTTCATGGACCCCCGCGTCTTCACATCCGTCAAGTAGATCTGGGGTATGTTCGCCTGCTTCTTCGAAGGGAAGTAGTCAGTGATGCTCGACTGGTTCTGTTCAGACTCCTGGCTAAGCTGCTCCATGAACTCTGGGTCCGGGTTCTCGTAGCTCAGACCGTCAATGACTCCATTGACCAGGTTCCCGTCGGCGAATCCCCAGACCTCGAGCTCGCGGGTCATACCGGTCTCGCGAAGTGTTCGAAGTCCCTGGATTAGGTTCCACATTCGAAGACCAAATCCATCTTCTTTGCTCGCTATCTCGACGCGGACTGTTTTGTGTACTTCGTCTTCGAGGTCTTGATGTACCTTTGTCCCCTGCTTCATCGCCGCCGTCCGAGTCTTCCGGCCGTAGGGCAGGCGTGTGAGGGTGTAGAAGTATTGCAGCTCGCACCATGCGCCGGAGGTCAAGTCGGTGACGGTGAGTGGCTTGCGAGGAAACGAGCGGAACCGCACAAGCGGCGATCGGGTATCATTATCTGGCTCAGGCGTGGCCTTCTCGGATGGTTTTGGTGATGAGGGAGCAGCATTGCTATTCGAGAGGGCTCTGCTCACTAAGCGCTTCCGCGTCAGTCAGTTTCCAGCAGAAGTTCTTCTGTCGTTATCACACTCACAATCCGGGTAGGCGACGGAGTGGCCAGGTGACGCCGGGGGAAGATCTGCCTGCTTCGTATTGTCGGTAATGGTTGCCTTTGAGCGACTCCGGCTAGATCGTAAAGGGCCCTTGGCTGTGCCAGTCGTGCGGTAGGAGAGAACCTCGGCGGGAGCATCGTCAAGGCGGAATTCCTCTTCGGTAACGGTATCAATGCCAAAATCTGAAGCGATTGAGGGAGCAGCGGGGTTCCGCGATGAGGTAGAGGTGGGGGCGGGGTTGTCGGTAATGAGCTGGCTCAGCAAAGTCTCGTCCTCCAAAGAAAGATCGTATCCATATTCGTCGTCTGAATCAAGTGAAAAGGAGGAAGACATCGCAAAGTGAAGTGGGAGTCATGTCGGGGTTGCGAGGGGAGAGAGCACCCTCATTCACGGCGTCACGACTCGGTGGGAGGGATCGCCGCTAAATGGGAGAGCGCGTCAGGAAAGTGGCGATGGGTGTCGCGAAGTCCAGTGACTTTCAGGCAGTCGAGGCCCATATAATATTTAGGGATAGCCAATGAGGCCCAAGTGAATAATAATTGCCGAGGCGGATCACATAAGCAAGCAACGTCTCACTCAATCTCGGCTCATTTGCAACATAAACAACAACACTTCAATCGAGGGAAGAGATCACCTCAAGGCTTCCTTACTTACGCAGGAATATTGCAGAGAGTGGAGGCTATGTGTACGTATTATCCATGTGATCTATAACCAACGTTGAGGAGAGCTCATGTCGTTTTTCTTCTTTCTTGAGACTGCTCACTCCCAACCTTCGCGAGAAGAGTTGCCCACTCACAGTTGAGGTCCGCTTGCTTTTTGAATCATTCGTTTTCGATTTTCCACCTAGCTAAGTAGCAAAGCGACATCGTGCGAGAACAACCTTCAAGTCATAGCCAGCGGTCCCTTCCTTCTCAAAGCAATCATTCCATAGCCATCATACGTTCCCACATGCCTACATCCTCTCATGCCCTTGTCCTCACTCTCTACCATTCCAAGAGCATCTTTCAACCATGTTCCGCCATCCAATACTGACATACGAAATCCTTCTCGATCGCCAAGACTTGAAGTGTAAGCAAGCACTGGAGAATGTTGCCACTTCTTAAAGACCTAACCACGTCGCTCAAGCTTAAGCATCCTTCGACTTAAGTCGCTTGAATAGTATTTCGCGAAATGTTGAAGCGAGGCGGGGAAGCCAAGTTTGGATGCTGCAGACCCGAGGCCGAAGGCGGCGCACCGCGTACAGGAGAAGTGTCGTTGAACACGTCATCAGACATGCAACTGCTGGGAGAGAATTTGAAAGGCTGACTTCCTTGCTTTGTCGGCGAGATATGCTGATCCATCGTGTTCTTGGGCTGCTTGGTCTGGGCGGATTGCTTGGTCGTCGTAGGCCTGGGCCGACTCCTCTTCTTTGTCGGCGTATCAGTAGGCTGTTCCTCTGGATTGTATTGTGCTAGCTGCCTGACTTCCATGGGCCGTTCCATGGGTTGCTGTGTGGGCTCTGTTGGCTCTTTGGGCTGTATCGGATGCGCGAGCTGCGGGACGTCTTCGACAGAGTCATTGATGCGCTGATAAACGTCATTCATGATCGTCTTCGCCAGAAAAATGTGAGACTCAAAGTCCCCATCTTTGATGAGCTGCAAGGTACACTTCTCCAAGTCATCCCAGCCTGAGCTCTTCAAGTCTTCGATAAAACTGGCGAGGGCAATACGACGGACGGACTCGTCATGGTAATCTGTCAAGCATGGGGGCGTTCTTCATATTCCTTGCTAGCAGGACATTGTCGATCGGCTGCTGTCGCTTCGCAGCTGCGGCGCTCCGAGTCTGTCGAGTCGGAGAAAGCTTGGCAGACGATGTGGCAGCTCGTGTCGGGGTCTTCGCGCCGACCTTGGGGCTCTTGACTTGTGCAGTAGATTTGATTCCAGACCCACCCTTTCTCTTCTTCTTTGGAGTGGTGACTTTCTTCTTCGGACCAACCGACCTGATCTTCTTCGCGTTGGCCATCTCCTTTTGCTGAGCAGCCTTCTTCTCTCCCGGGGAGTTGGATTCCGCCTTCCGTTTCTTGCTTGGCGGGGATGGAGTCGTGGACTTGGTGATGGAGCGCGTCCAAGGTCTCAAAGCCGGCAGAGAGGGAGGATCCGAAGTGAGCTGAGAGGGTTCGGAAGATTTGGTGCTTGTCTCCTTCGATGCAGAGAAGAAGCCGTCTGAACTGTCTTGTGCTGGTACTGCCGATTGAAGCGCTAAAGCTGCCTTCAACATGCCCTCCGACGAGTAAACTTTGAGGCCATCAGCACAGTCTCGAACATATCGCAGAACACCAAGTGGTTGGTTGACACATGGTATCCCATTCCAGCCAAGACGGCGGAGGCTCCAGCTTGTAGATGAGAAGGGCTGAAATAATGGCAAGTCTGGCGGAAGGCCGCTTGCTCTGACCCATCTCCCGCGCATGGTAGACAGTTCTGTGGAGGGCCTGCGCTCTGCACTGATTGCCGAAGGAGGAAGCTGTGATTGAGAGGGCGATCAGCGCTAGAATTTCCTTCTTCTCTCCAGAGGTCACAAGGATGTCCAAGGTGTCGGTGTTGAAGAGCTTAGCCGCCAAGTCTAGCCATTCTCGCTGGAAATTCGGAATGGGGTACGCAGGAAGGATCCAGGCGAACCTGTTCGCTCTCTCGGGGTCCTTCCCGCTGCTGGTTACCATTCTGGACGTTTCTGGTATCTTTCCTCAATGAGAGAATAGATTCCGATTCCGATCTTAGCGACGATGTATGGAAGAGTGTGTTCTGTGAAGGATGAAAGAATCCGCAAGTTGCAAGAGGTAATGTGGAGGGAAAGAGAAAGAAGCTCTGCAGATGCCTCGGAAATACCCTCGAAAGGGGAAAACAGTCCACGGCTCCTTCCTTCAGCATGGAAAAGTCGGAATAATTGCAGATCATGTGGGTGAACCTGGCTTCATTCTCTTGGTTTGTCATAGAATTGGTCTACGGCTGAACGTACAGGCGTGCAGGACAAGGAGCCAGCCGGCAAGATCATGATTGGGACTTAGGCGGAGAGATAAACGACCAATGTAGGCACACTGCTTCATGATATGAATGGATCCTTGGCTTGAATCCAAGGGGCCTTCAGCCTCGTTCCCTGGGGAGAATCTTGTTTTTTCTGGAAGACACAGTCCGTGTCATTTTCCTGCGTTTACTCGGCAACAAGGCAAAAATGCATGACAGACTAGAGCAATCTAGCAAATGGGTATGATTTTTCTCGTTCTTCTCCAACTTGTTATTTATGGCCCATCCACATCCTCTCGTAGTTTGCTCAAATCGAAACCCACGCGTCAGTATCGATCCCACTCTGATTTGGCGATGCCGGGCCATTTCTCGAAGATGTGACATACAAAAGCTGGGTGTGGCGTGATGGTTCCCTGTTTGCGCACCAATCCCCACCCCGAGAATTAGATCTCTCTCCTGTTTTCCTTCCTCTGGACGTCACCGATGAGGGCTCTAGGAGGAGCTTGTTAGTCATCCATGCTACATGGCTCGGGGGAGGATGAACCACCTACATCCTATTCATCGCTAACGGCTGGCAATCTATTCTTCAACTTCTCTTCGAGGGTTTCCGCGAGCAGTACGCGAATATCTTCACCTGCGGAATCCACAAGGTTCTGGGCCAAGGCATCGAACTCAGACATTTACGTAGATGTCAAATGCTTCCGAAATGTCTCGAGCATGATACAACGCGAGAAGGCATCCGGGAGGCGAGCAAACAGCGTCAACTTTCCCGCTGAGATGAATTCCTCGACAAAGCGAACGCTCTTGCTGTCGCTCAGGGCATTGGTCCGATTCGCTACTTCAGTGTCACCGAACTTCTTCTGGTCCCTCTTGGCTGGAACCTCCTTGACGAATTGAACTTCATCGTCGCTATTCTCAACAACTTCGTCCTTGGCTAAAAAAGTAATCTCCGACTGCAGGCTATCTGACCGGTCCAGGAGTGTCTGGCGGGCCTGTCCAGGTCTATGTTGCTTTCGGGGTGGCTCAGTCTGAGATCTCCCATATGGGTTGGTTCGTGTTTTCTTCCTCTTTTGCGGGCTTGAGTTGTGGGTAATTGAAGAGTCTCTCTGAAGATGACCCAGATTGGGCTGGCGGATTGGAGGGCTTAGAGCATCGTCGTCCAAGCCACGCCAAGAAAGCGCTTGAGGGCTGCGCCGGCTCGCATGTCTGCTTTGAGGGCTTCCTCGCGATTCTCGGTGAACTCTCTGACTCCTGGTCAGCCTTCTGGGTAGAGCAGGTGAAGTCTTTGAATGTGAATGGGAATATCCCTGCACAGACTCGTATGAGTGCCTGCGCGAGTACCTGGTGTTGGGTGTAGAGTAATCTCTGGTCGAGTTGCTCTTCTTTCTGTAATGTCTTATCGCGGTCGGAGGTTCGCTGTCAGAAGAATCATTGTTCATGTCAGATTCATCTGGTAACCAGCCGTCGCTTGACGAGTAAGAATCCTGGCGGACGAGCTCGCCTCTAGATTTCTCTGGTGCTTGATGCAACGTTGACGGCGGAAGTAACCCAACAATGGGTGCTGATTCTTCCTTTCTGCTTCCGATGTCATCATGCTTGTCAGATCCAGTCAAATTGCGTGAATACCATGACGACGGTTCCAGCGCCGTTCTTCTCGCCAAGCTGGCCTTCCGCGCTCCTGCCTCGGCCTTGTTCATCCAGGTTGCTATTCGATTGTAGCGGCCGCAAACGGTGTCATCTCTCCACTCTTTGAAGAAAAATACATTTGCTGCGCCGCCAGGAACAAGCTTGGCCTTGCAGAGGCCATCCGCGTTGGGGGAGTAGAGCGCGTACAGCTCTAGAGTGAAGTCACTGCCCAATCTGTAGACGACCTTGAAAGCCTTTTGGATGATGGCATTGTTGATGGGGGGTGCGGTGAAAGTATCCACGCATAGAGGTCCTCCATACCTGGAGTATCTGTGACCATATTTGGAGATCGAATGGATGTTTTTGGGGATGAACCAACCAACCCAGAGACCCATGGGATACTCTGGGTGGCTTTCCCAGTCCTTTTCGTTGTCGACTGGCAACTTCCAGCTGTCTTCGAGAGCCAGCGAATTCTTCTTGAAGCTATCGATGTCTTCAAACTCGTCCTTATTCTCGGTGAACTCGGAGAGCAAGAGTGGCATGCTCTTTGGTGGGGATTCACCGTAGCTCAGACCGTCGTGGAAGGTCTCAAGCCACGGAGTATGGCAGACTTGGCCGACGCTTTCCTCTTCGGAGTGCACCATTTCAGCGATTGACAGACAACCCTGCAAATTGATGCTTGAAAACATGTTAGCGAGAAGTTCGCTTTATCATGCTTGGGTGGAAGAATTTTGCTTACCTTGGCTAAAGTTTTGTATGAAGATGCGAAGGTAGGCTTTCGGCGAAATCAGGAACGAGGTGTAGGATGCAAAAGATGAGAGTTGTGCGAAGAAGTCAGAAAAGCCGAATAGAACTAGTTAAGGTAAAATGCGTCTATGGACAAGTTCAGAGAAGAAAACCGGAGGGTCTCTTGAATCATTAAAGGGAAAGAGTGATGAATGAAGGAAGGCACCGTCGAAGTAGGATACGACAGCGGTGGTTCACGTGCATTGTAATGGTTGTGATGGGCCTAGTCACGTAAAGTAAAGAAGATAAAGAGGGAGGAAGCAAAGTGATAGTCACCACAATGGCAGATTTAATACCTGCTTATTTGTTGAGTGGATTTCAACTTCTTGATCCTTCAAAGCGCGATGATCTTGCAAAAGCGATCTTGATGTGAGTTTCATCTACCTACCTACCTTACTTACTTTTAGTAAGGTTGGTTGGTTTCTGGAAGTACATCAAAATGATTCTATGAAGACAGGTAAGGTAGGTAGGTACCTTACTAGGTAAAGTACTATCAATACGGGCACCCAACAGAAGCTTGTGCAGTGCCCGTCCTTAGCCAGAATATCACAATGAGTTCGGCCCAATAACCGGCTCGGGGTGGGTACCCAACGTAATCCTCCAAGTGGCCCGGTTGGCTTGCGAACGGTTAACCTTAATTAAGTTAGAGTTCATTGACCACACTTACCATCCCCTAGAGCACCTTGAGTTGAATCTGTCGACAAAATTAAGGGCCTCATGGGATCTAGCTGGTTCTCTACACAGAATATGCTCAAAAATCAAAACAAATCGACCGAGCTGGGACTCGAACCCAGAGCCTTTGCCACCGGAAAGCAACGCGCTGCCATTGCGCCACCCGGCCCGATTACTGAAAAAGATTCAATTTTTGCGCGGCCATGGAGCGCTGCCACTAGAGCCGAGAGCGGACGTTCAGCCGATTCACGGTCGTTCGCGCCGCAGAAGAGCGCCACACCCACTTGGGTGCGTCATTCGCTCATCCACACTCACATTTTCTGTAGGATCCCCAGGAGCAAGAACACGCACCACCACTTACACCACCTTACGAAACACATCACGATCTTTCCAACCACCACGATCTCACACGTCTCATTAAAAGCCTCGCCAGAATGGCCCGATTTCCAACAATAGCCACCGTCGTGCGCGGTGCAGGCGTCAACATCGTACTCAAAGCAGACCAGCCCACAGGCCGCACCGTCTCCGGGACAGTCCAAGATGTGCTCACGCGCGGCAACCACCCCCGAGGCATCAAAGTCCGGCTCGCCGACGGCCGGGTGGGACGAGTTCAGTCTCATACCGACAGTACACAACAACAGCAAGACCAGTCATCTGCATTCACCGAAGTCGCTGAAGGCTCGACGGGCTACGGAGACTCACGTAGACCTCCCCGGCGCGGTGGCGGTCGTAGGCAAGATGCCGAGGCTGAGTTGCCGTCGGCGCAGGTCGGGCTTGAAGCTTACATTCGGCCTGCTAAGCAGAAGAATGGTGGACGCGGTAGGGCAGCTGTGAACTCTGGTGCTCAAGTACAGGAAGCGGCGCCTGCTGTGACTTCTGAGATTGTGACGTGCCCGGTCTGCGGTGAGTTTGAGGGGGATGCTGCTGCTGTTGAGCATCATGTTGCTGGTCACTTTGATTGAAGCACAGTCGCATCATCTCATTTCACATCACCACACGACACTGGGCCAGTCCAACGCGGGTCCACTTGTTCATCGAAGTTTCTATTCAGGCCATCAACTCTAGCGCCTCATCTACCAGGAAGGATGACTGAAGAGCTCCCAAGGATCTATCCAGCTATCGAGGCTCAACCAACATAGGCCTACGCCCACCAAGTCATTCATCTCACCTCTTACAAGCGATACCTGAAGCCGGCAGTCTTCCAGTCCGTCACGTCCTCGTAATCCTCAGGACGCAGCTCAACCCGGCCAACCATATCCGCAACATCACCAGCAGTACCCTCAGCCTGCATGACCTTACCGCCGCCAACAGCACCAGCACCGCCAGCGCTGCCCTCGTACCCCTCTTCCCTAGTGCGCTTGTCGTTCATCCACTGCAGGTAGAACCTCAATCCCAGCGCAAGCACAACGACGAGCGCATAGCAGATCATGATGGTGCGGAAAGCGGTGTTGTAGTGCGGCTCCTCGGAGGCCTTGAAGAATTGCGGGCCGGCAATGTTACCAGCGCAGTAAGCAAGGAACAACAGCGACGACATGGTCATTTTCTTGGTCACGCCTCGGTAGTTGGCCGAGACGAGGGACATGGCGAGCGGCATGGCGGCAGGTCCAGGGGAGAGGAGGAAGTAGCCAAACAGCTGGACGCCGCTGCTGACACTTTCACGGGAGTAGATGATTGCGGCGCCAGTGATGCACGGCAAGACGACGATAGCGATCAGGATGCAGTTCATCTTGCGGTAGCGGCCTGCGATCCAGCCCGTTCCCGTAATGATGGCGGCCGAGAGAAGCGAGTAGGGGATATTGATGAGGGTCGACTGCAAGCTGGTGAAGCCAAACGACTTGATGACGAGGTTGGCAAAGTTCTGGGTGCCGCCGTTGGGGATCTGGGTGATGATTTCGAGGCCAAAAATGAACCACGTCTTGGGGTCAATCATGCACTCAACAACCTGATCCCACTTCCAGTGCGTCTTCTCCGTGGATCCCGTGCCGGCGATGACAACGCGGTCGGCGGCGTACCGGCGCTCCTCGGGCTTGAGGAAGCGGGCTTTGGAGATCGTGTCGGGCAGCCAGATGAGCAGAACAAATGCCCAGACAAAGGTGAGGACGCCGAGGATGATGTACATCCAGCGCCAGGGGCCGACCTTGTCATCGCTGGAGATGTGGCCGAAGCCAAAGGCGACAAAGGAGGCGACGAGCCCGCCGACGCTGTTGCCGGCGAACCAGATGCCGGTGCGGGTGGGGATCTCGTCACGGGTGTACCAGGTGGCAGTGAGGAACATGAAGGCGGGCGTGATGGTGGCCTCCGCAACGCCGAGGAGGAAGCGGACGGTGAGGAGGCCGCCGTAGTTTGTGCAGGCGGCTGTGAGGGCGACAACGGCGCCCCAGAAGAAGGTGTTTGCGGTCATGTACTTTGCGACGGGGAGGCGGGCGATGAGGAGGGAGGTTGGGTAGGTCCAGGCGAAGTAGCCAAAGTAGAAGATGCTTGAGACCCAGCTGTAGTTTTGCCCTTTGAGATGCTATTCACGAGGTTAGCACGCTGTACTAGACATCTGCAAGGTAGATCAGATTTCATATGAGAAAACGACATACCGTGTCAGTTCTGAGACCAAAGACAGAGGCGCTGGACAGGATGGTCTTGTCCATAAAATTGAGCATGTAGGTGATGAAGAGCAGCGGAATGATATTGAGATCAATCTTGCGGACAATCTTCTTGGCCATGTCGCTGTCAATGTGCTGCCTCTCCCCATCCTGCACCTCGGCGGGAGGGTTCTGCGGTGCGTCCGTTGATGACCCCATGTTGGCGAGCAAGTTCTGCCGTTCGTCAGATTGGTCGTCTTCGTCCTGGTCGTTGTTGTCGTCTACTGCACGAGAACTAGAAGCTCCTACAGAAAAGTCCAGGGTTGCATCTCGAGAACGGCGTCGGGATGTCGTCGCCCTTTTGAATGAGGCGGCCATTCAAAGGGTCCCTCCCGGGGGCGGGGATGGTCGCGACCTTCCCGCGGCCAAAAGAAGCAATGCAACGAAAAAATACGTTACGTGCCTTATCTTCCGCCGATCTTCCCCGACAGTGACAGGCCGACGCGTTCGCCTCTTCTTCCCCCTCTCCTCCGGTCCCTTGTCTACTCCGTCCCAAGCGGTCGTAACCACCGCGAACCGGTAAATGGACCGACCAGAACGTCTAGACAATGACCGATAACAGGACGTCAGAAGATAAGACGAGCAAACTGCATACGTCCGTCCGCGCGCCGGGAGTGGGCGAACGGTTTAGCGACCGCTAGACTCCGCTGAATAGACGGTGTTCTCCAGTGTCTTGCGTGGATTGGCCTGGAGATATCGTCCCACCTCGTGTGCTGTCGGCGAATATCCGAACCGACGAGATACGGCGTTACTCCGCTAGTGCCACTGCAGTGGTTGCGCCCTTCAATGAGCTCTCGTGGTGCCGTCGCGATGTGGGGAGAATAGAGTATGTTCAACGGATTTTAGAGATGAAGAAGACAACGTTAGTGGACGAGCACAGAGCTGCTGACATTGACAATGCTGTTGGATTACCGACCCGGCGGTTATGGTTGGCCGATGGGCAGAATCTGGTGGGATCAAAACTTTAGTCTTTGACTCTCTTGTTGCTACTAATTTCCTTATCGAATCCTTCTTTACCCCACATTGCTGCGAACATCGGCCATCAGACTCCGTTCACTATATTCTCGTCTGATATGATTCGTGATTCTCGTTCGCCCAGATCTACAAACGTTCCAGAACTAAGCTTATTAAGAAATGGTTTGCTGATTTATATTAGCCGACGAGGAGTGTTCCGTCGTCAAGCTGTCGGCCCATGTCCGACGCTGGCCGCTGGCGGGCTATTTACCACGCGACGCCCAGCCGGATCGGCAAGCACGCCCGCGGAGGCTAACAAGATATCAAAGACATCCTAGTCTCGAGCCGCCATATCCCGCACGCTTGATTGGCTCTCCATTTACACGATCAGACCTCTCAACTCTCACTGTCTTCTCATCTTGACACCAGCGACCGGGAACCTGGAATCTGACAGCGGGCAAACCCAACAAACCCAAAACATGAACGGCCTCGAAATTTCACCCTTCATCGCCTCCCTCCCCAAGGTCGAGCTACACATCCACATCGAGGGAACTCTCCTCCCCGCCCTTCGCTGGAAACTCGCCAAACGCAACAACGTGCCCCTCCAATACGAAACCTACGAGGCCCTACTGGACTCGTACAAGGTCTTCTTCAACCACCGCCCCGAAATCAACGGCCGCGTCCCGGGTATCCCAACATTTCTCGAGGCCTATTTCGCAGGTTGCGAAGTCCTGAAAACTGAAAATGAATTTTATGAAATGTCAATGGACTACTTCCGGCGCTGCGCCGAGATGAACGTCCGTTACGTTGAGCCATTTTTTGATATTCAAGCACATACGCGCAGGGGGGTGCCCGCGGAGGATGTTCTGAATGGGTATCTGAGGGCTCAGCGTGATGGCGCGAAGGTGCATGGTGTGAAGTCGAATTGGATTTTCTGCTTTATCCGCGACGAGAGTCTTGAGGATGGGTTGGCTGCGTATGAGGCGGCTAGACCGTGGGCTGCTGGCACCGTCGAGGGTGGCAAGGGTCTCTTCCATGCTGTCGGGCTGGCGAGTAACGCCTTCAAGAGGCCGCCGATGCTTTTCGAGGAAGGGTTCCGGAGGGCCAAAAAGGATGGGCTGCATGTTACGATGCACTGCGATTTCGGGCAAAAGGATGCGTTCGAGCACGTCCACGAGGCAATTTTTGAGGTCTGTGATGGCGCTGGCGCGGAGCGGGTTGACCACGGGCTCGATGCGGCGGATAAGGAGGAGTTGCTGCAGGGATTGTTGGATCGGGGGATCGGCTTGACGTTGTGCCCTCACGCGTATCACCGGCGGACGGCGACGGAGGTGCTGTTTCCCAAGATTCGGACGTTGTGGGAGAGGGGCGTCAAGTTCAATATTAACAGTGATGATCCGGTGTATATGCACGATGTTTGGGTAGATGGGAACATGCAGAAGGCGTACACCTATTGCGGGTTTAGTAAGAAGGACATGGTTGAGCTTGCGAGGAATGGAGTTGATATGTGTTGGGCTAGCGAGGAGGTCAAGAAGGATTTGTACAAAGAGTTGGACGCAGTCGATACTGACTAGAGTCAAATCTGAGAACTGGAAAGACCTTCTGGGCTTTCGGTCTGGATTGCTTAATCTAAAGTAAAATAGCAAGCAAAGTCTTGAAGAGTCTTCGAAGATTGAGAGTAGGTAGCCGGAGAACAAACGTACGGTAATGCCATCGTAAAGAGGAGGGTCGGAATACTGTGATTGAATCTCATTTCAAGCTAAGTAGACTAGGATTTTCGGGAAGCTCTCGCAACGCACCCATTGCTAATGCATTCTACCCCAACTGTTGGCATTCTTTCTTGGCCTTGAATCAAGCAGCCGGTACTGCCAGTTTCTTCCCCAATTCCCTCCGATGCAAGAACCTGATCAAGAGCGAAGTGCCCGCCATACCAACGGCAAAGGAAATCATCGTGATGTAACCCTTCGGGTACCGAGGTGCCTCGACCTGCTGCCAGATAAGCAGCGGCAACCATGCCTGGAAAACGTACGCCATCTGGTTCATCGAGCCCGTCACCAGCGCCCTCTCCTCGTTATCGTCCTTGCAAATCTCATGGGCCCACGCGAATGTCAAACCGCTGATGCCACCACCAAACCCGACCAGCAGGAAACACCCCCATTTCCAGGAATCGGAAATATTCCACACCGCCAAAATCGAGTAGAGCACAACGTTGAGTGTTCCGGAGAAGACTATCGGCGGCCATCTCTCCCCTTGAAAATGGAGTCTGAGGACCAGGCGTAAATCCACGTGGTTATCACCGTGATAGCGGAAGTAATCGTCGGGTAAGTGTTGTACTCCTTGACAGAGTATCCCTCTCCTTTCAACCACAGCTGGAAAGCAGGTTGACTCAGGATTCCGCATCCGTTGTTGAAGAAAATGTACAACGTAGTAAGGGCATAGATATGCCAGCTCGTGAAAATCTTCTTGATCTTGGCTTTTGTAAATGGCTGCCGGTTCGCCCTCCCCTCAAGCTGCATCCGTTTCTGCGCAAGCGCGACATCATCTTTGGTCAGCCACCAGGCTTTCGTGATCTCAGGCACGTCAGGCAGGAAGAAGAATCCAGCAATCGCAATCGGCAGAGAAATGACAGTATCGACGATGAAGAGCCACTGCCAGCCCTTCCATCCGTGGACACCACTGAGATTGTAGACAGCGGCCATGAGGTATCCAGAGAACATAGAACCAATGGAGCCCGCGGAGTGAAAGAGGCAGGATCGTTTGGCGAGTTCGTCTTTTCTGTACCAGCATCCGATGATGTACTGCATGCCCGGGTAGAATGTACTCTCGGCGAGACCGATGAAGAAACGGAGGACGTAAAGCTGTGTGACGTTTGTACATTTGATCATGAGGATTGTTAGGATGGCCCAAGTGCATTCGCAGGCAGGAATCCAGATTGATGGGCGGACACGGGTGAGGAGGATGTTGCTGTGGGCAATGTCGTTAGTGCCTGAAGAGATGGCACGGGTGCACGGAAACTGATGTTGGACTAACCTGGGGATTTCGCCAATGACATATCCGACGGTCCAGCAGGCTTGCATGTAGTTGAGCTCGTTGCCAAAGAGCTTCATGTCTTCTTTCATGCCAGACACAAAGGCATTGTTGATGTTGATCTGGTCAAGATTCCTGATGAAATGTCAGTACAGACGATGAGCTGTTAGCCAACATGGAGGGCCAACTTACTTGATGAAGTATCCCAAACTTGCAAAAGTCAGAATCACAGCGTCCAACTTGAACATGAACTTGCGTTCCTCAGGCGACTTGTCCAAGGTATCCCAGACATATGACCGCCATGTGAGCTTCGGCTCTTCTTGGACAAGTTCCACAACGGTAGGTTGAACCCCTCGTGCATCGATGGAAGAGGGCGACTTGTTCCGAGGCGATTCGGCGACCGTAGTCTTCTCGATCTCTGGGACTCCCATACTCGGAGCTGGTTGGTCTCAAACCCAAAGGAATAAATGGTCAGCTGCGCGTCTGGATCGACATAATCATGAATAATAACGACATTCAGCAGCAAAAAGCCAGACTTTATAACAGAATATGCGGAACTTTCTTCCGTCGACTTTTCAAGTTTTCCAGGGTCTGTCGGACCAACATCGGAGCAGACGCGCATGGGCAACTAGGTAAGAACTGGGCATATCGCTGACGAGGTTTTTGGATACGATGGCGTGCTGGACACAGCTGAAGACACAGGCGCGCGTCTGTCACCCTTGATGCGGACAACATCCGATGCGCATCCTGTCATTGACGTGCAGAAAACAGTCTTGAGATTGATAAAACCATGCATGATGATCGATTATCCGAGGCGGTCCGGAATTCATTGGTCTCAATACACCTTGCCTAGACGGAAATTCCCATGGCCCTACAGATTCAAAGCCATGAGCGCCAAGGTTGTTAGCTGGCGTATAAATTTGTCTAGCTAGTACAATGATCTCTAGATACTCTTGGTATCCCGTCGATCAAAAGCTTCGCACAAAGCTTTCTGGGCAGTCAACGTAGCCAAGGCCTGAGACGGACTCCAGAGTGAGGGGAACACGGAGTTAAGAGAAATGAAAGCTTACACACGCACTCCAGTGATTAGATTCCCCCGCATGAGTCAAGCCCTTCAAGCCGATTTCTTCGGGTGATGATCTCTTAAAGGGGATTGGGCTGATGTTGTTTGACGAGCACACAATCGGGCCCTTGTATCGCGTAACCCCCACTCGCGAGCGCCGCCATCGCCGATGCGCCCCGGATCCGCTTCCGCGGGGGAGGGTAGGGCGAAACGTCGAGCCAACAACTGACTGATTAAACCCTTCATCACCTTTGGCTAGATTCGCATCGTCGAGCCTCTGGAGAGTTTGGGCGACGATCGCGTGCTGACGACGGATTTTGGTTGGAGAATTAGTCCTCCGAGTTCCGTGGCGCGGTGGTTCGATGCTACGCATCTGTTGCTGGATTCGTCACACTCGATGCAGATGAAGCCATAGATAACCTCTGCTAAAAGGACCATTGACCCCGCGATTATTGGTAATCATGGCATTGTTGGTTAACGTGATCAGATGAGGAGGTCCCGTGGGATTGGGTCTGGAGAATCACGTCGTATCAGAGGCCGTGTATTACAAGATTTAAAAGAGGCTGCCCGTGCCTGTTCGTTTCAAGTCATATTCAGAGCAGCTGATAGTTATACAACATTTGCAAGGCCTTGATAATAATATATCCATTCTCTCAATTCGTTCGCATCCACACATCTTTCAAGCAGATCATCATGGTTCCCGCCCCCATCGACCCATCAATCACCGACGTGGCGGAGTCGCGGAAGGACACTCTTGGGCTCCCCGAAAACACAAAGGCAAGACTAACCAAGGCTGGAGTGGACTTGTCAAATGGGTACCCATACCGCCCTTCGCGGCCTCTGTACCTGGACGATGCGTACAATATTCGCAACAAGGAGCGGGAATATGTTGACGCTGGCTCGAGGGCGGACAAGTCCAAGAAGAACCTGCTCAGCGCAGCGACAAAAGTTACGAACCTGACGGCCCACATTGGAACAGAGATTGAGGGTCTTCAGCTCAAGGACCTCACTCCCGAGCAAAAGGATGAGCTTGCGTTGCTCATTGCTGAGCGCAGTGTCGTCTTCTTTAGGGACCAGGATCTGTCGCCTCAGCAGCAAAAGGAGTTGGGAAATTGGTATGGTGAAGTTGAAGTCCACGTAAATGCATACCAATTTACCAAATCTCTCAACACGTGAGCATGCTGACGTATTTGAAGCCTCAAGTTCCACAAGTACCTGGCGTTCTGGGTGTCACGGTTATCTGGCCAGCCTTGATGGCCACCGAGAGAAAGGCCAACTTCCGTAACCCCGGCGGCGCCTCCAAATGGCACACCGACCTGGTCCACGAGCGTCAGCCGTCTGGTATCACTCACTTGCACAACGACGCTGTCCCGCCCATCGGCGGCGACACCCTCTGGGCCAGCGGCTACTCGGCATACGAGAAGCTCTCACCCGATTTCCGCAAGATCATTGACGGAAAGTACGCCGTCTACCGCTCTGCTCACACGTACCTTGATCGGAACGACCCCGAAGCTGGACCAAAGCACATTGAGCGGGCGCATCCTCTTGTTCGCGTCCACCCTGCGACGGGCTGGAAGTCTCTCTATGTGAACCGGCTGTTTACGTCGCATATTATTGGGCTCGATAAGGCAGAGAGTGAAGCCATTTTGAACTACCTCTTTGATGTGTACGAGAAGAACGTGGATATTCAAGTCCGTTTCAAGTGGACTCCCAACACTAGTGCTCTCTGGGATAACAGGTACGTGATATCCCAAAGGTTTAATGATGACGCGAGTGTATAACTAATTTCATCCAGAATCACTATCCATAACGCCAGCTGGGATTATGAGGGTAACCACCCTCGTCACGGAACTCGCGTGACATCTCTTGCCGAGAAGCCGTACTTTGATGCCGCTGCGCCTAGCCGACGTGAAGCGTTGGGCTTGCTGGGACCGGATGAGAAGGAGGAGCTTGGTACTGGTGGAAGAATCAAGGGGCTGAAGGACTTCTCCCTGTAGATGAAGTCGATGTACGAGAATGATTGACTACGTTTCCAATTGTTTCTATGTGTACCCTGCCGGCTCAGCTCCTTTGTCTCTGTGGCCTATGAAGCGAAGGCAATAATCGGACTCTGTCTTAGACGTTTTACGAATCCAAGATACCATCAGGCTTGTTGTGGAACTTCTAGTTTGCCCCTTTCTTCACCAAGACCTGGTAATCATGCCAGACGTAATCGTTGCCTGCATCCCTCTCCCAAACAAAAGTCTCCTTGTTAGCCATTTCTAGATCGAACGAGAATACTATCTTGGCGACAGTCAGACGAGTAGACTGCAATGCCATCTCGCGACCAATGCACACCCGAGGTCCGACGAGGAATGGCCGGTAGCTGGTCCGGACATCGTGCTCAAAAACAGTGCCCGGGCCATTGTCAAGCCAGCGATCAGGTCTGAACCTGTCGGCGAGAGCCCAGTACTCGGGCTTACGCTGAATGGTCCAGATATCGGCAGAAACATTGACGCCCTTGGGCACGTTTGTTTGTTTGTTTGTTATATTTAACGCCGTGGCGGCAAGGGCGCAGCCGCCCTTGCGGCCGACCTCCCGAAGGGTATATGGCGTGGAGAGCCGTCGCCCTATAACTATTGCTAGATACAGTTCAAATCGTCCTCCAAATCGTGCCTTATGGCTACTATGCGTTCTATCTGTCCCTGGTTCCCGCTGGTGCCCCAGTTCCATTCTTGAATTTTTGCGGCTTAAGGCCGGATATGTCTGGAGAGGGCGGCCTGCCGAAACAGGCCCCTCGTACATGTTCTGATTTGTACAAGACCATTCCTGCCCCAGTACTTGGTTGACGACGTGTACTCGCCGCATATCCACTTTTTCTTGGTCGGAGGGTGTGGATATGAGAAAACCCTGGCGAGGGCCCGGAAAGGGTCCTAGGGCCCGGAAAGGGTCCTAGGCCCCGCATTGGGCTCTGCCCTACCCTTCCCACAGGTAGTTAAAGCAGTTGCCGGCGGCTGGAATCGAACCAGCGACCTCTGGGCTCCAGAGGCCTTGCCAGGTGTATGCCACTACACCGCGCCGGCCCTTGGGCACGTAGAGCCCATCAATCGTGGCCCCAGGCGAAATGCGATGGGACCCGCGACCATTGATGGGTGGCGTGAGACGCAGTGTTTCCTGGATGCAGGCATTCAAGTAAGGAAGGCGAAGCACACTCTGGGCTGTGACTTCAGAGACGGAGGAATATGGCCGGGGTCTCGTAGCACGTGGCAAAAGACTGCTGATAGAGTTGTAGCCGAAGTGTCATAGCCAACCATGCTGTTTCCAATCATGTTAGAATCAGGGACGGGAGGGTGATGAGACGACAGGAATTGAGGGGACCTTACGCGAACAAAGCCGAATTACTCAACATCTCCGGCTGCGTCAAGCCTGCAGATTCTTTGGCGGATAAGATTGTGGTTAAAAAATCTTTGCGCCCGCCTTGTCGCTCGATATAGCTGTAATGGTATAGTGTGAGTTTGACCTTATGTTGGAGAATGGGTTCCGACTAGCTTACCCTCTAAGTTGGTTCATCAAAAGAAAGTTCTTGGGGATGCGGAAAATGTGTGGAACAATCATGACTGGCAGTTTTGCAAGCCCACCAAAGATAGGAGTTTCTGTGAGAAACTGAAAGAGCTCTAGAAGGGGTGCTCCTTTCCCGTAAGTGTACTTCATCTTTTCGTACGTGCCTAGTGCGATATTTAGCTCGAAGACTTTTGCACAAGACGTACGTTGTACCTACTCATTTGGTCATGGAGGAGCGGTTCTCCGAAAGACAAGTCTCCAACAATACTCCAAATCATCTTTCCGACATGGTCGCTGATACTCACAACCTCATCCTCTTGAAGCTTAGAACCTAGCGACTCGACAGCCCGATTGACGTGGTGCTGAACAATATCTTCCTGTTCCATCAACGCCTTGGCTGTGAAAGCTGGTTGCAATGCCGTACGTAGTCTCTTGCTTGCGGTTCTATCGGTGGTGGTCAAAAGGTTCGGCGCTGCCCAAATGAGTTTCGCTAGCAGAGACTCAATCGTGCCCTGCTTCGTGAAGTGACCACCGTCGGGACCGGGGTTATGGATCGTCTTGAGGGCACCTTCTGTGGCAAACGAGAGCTCATTTGGACCAATGCGCACGACAGGTCCTGTGGGCCTAACGACTAGCAGAACTCAGGAAGATGCATTGATGCATAGACCTGCTCACGTACCATATTGAGCATGCACCCTCTCGATATCATTATTGAGTCAATGTCCCGACACCGACCGAATGAGCCAGATCTGAAGCCGTGATTAGCGCACAGTAGTGTAGTGAGAAGAGCTTTTGAGCTTATACTGGAGATATGGATGCGATGAAAGGTCCTTTCACGTGCGCGATGGGATGAAGATAGCAGTTATATAGAGCCAAGATGACTGGACTGACTACGGCCTAGAAACAATGTTAGTTGGTGAGGCTTCGCTGAAGTTAGACGGCAATCATTCAGAATCTTTCGTACGAAGAGCCCAAGGTAGAAAGCTAGTGTTCCCCATGTGGTCCAAAGATAGAGCGGCGCAGTAACCCATGGCAATGAGACTATTCCAAGCTTGTCATTTTGAAATGTAGCGATCGGTGAATCCATCGTTTGTTCTTCGGTGTTGTTGACTCGACGAAAGGAGTGAAATTGGCGGGGTCTTTCGTCAATTTCGATTTCAATCTTGAGATTTGTTGAACTAGAGCTTTCTGCCAACAGCCTACACAGGCAATCTTAAACCGTTTCCAAATACGTGACTACTTCTGCACATCAATTACGTCCTGATGATTAGCAATGCTCCCATCTGGTCGTTTCTGTGTCCTCACTAGATTGACATGCCCCTATCATTGCTAGCTGTTGACAACGCTGCCTTCGCAACCGAGGAATGACCTGATTCGGACTTGACTCTGCCATTTTGGGCAATGCCGAAAGCTAAACAACCTTACGAGTCCGGGCCGAAGCCGTTGACAGCAGGTCAGAATAGCGGTTCAGAACAATTTGGGTAAACTCTCCGGTCTCGCTTTCTACTGCACCCTATGTCACAAAAAAACAACCGTGCTGGAACAACATGGGCTACCTGGTGTCGCTTTTGGGTTTGCGAGACCCTGTTTACAATCAACTTAGCCGCGTTATCTCTCCAAACATCTTGTCTTGGAGGCTCGTGTCGGGCAGAATTCCGGGCAATTGTAATCGTTCGCATCTCGATGAACATTTTGCCCCTCACGTCATATTGCATCAGAGTCACTAAACTTACCCACGGTCCGAGTCCGCTTAGACACCTGTTAAGGCTACGATGAGAATCGACCGTGGTCCTACAGCCATGATAACTAAGTATGAACGCAGATGTGAGATCCCTTCAGCGGTTACGTACTCAGTAAGATCTTTGCGACGTAAAGTATCGATGCGAGCTGCTCGGAGCTTGAAGTAGAGTATATGACTTGAATGCAATCATTTCGTCTTACTCTGATCTCAGACGACTTGGTACATCTCTGTCACGATGCCGCAGGTCGATAGCTCAAAATAGCTACCGGTAGGTACAGCAGCACATGCTTTCTTGCAGGAGATTATCAACGGCCGATGTCTGTCGCGTGGTAAGCATGTGTTGCAAGTAAGCTGAGATGACCTGCTCGCCAATGTTGGCAACTGATGGCTACATCCCGTCAACTTCCAGCTCGGCTCATGCATCGAAGAGCCATGACTCGCCTGAATGTAAGAACATCCTTGAACTATTGCTTGACGAGAATTTCCCATCAAATCTTGTGATTCCACCAGTCAATGCACCAACCTCTACCAAGATGCAGCCCAGCCTCAAATCAACGCCGGTGGCTTACAATATGTCAGCGCCAGCGACAAGCCCTCTGACTGCATTGCTAAAGGGTTCTGATACTGCGGTTGAAAAGAAGAGTGAGTGCAGGTGCTTGAGGCTCGCCGCACATTTGCTCGAGCAGCTTGGCAACCAAGGCGCCAACACGGAATCTGCCACTACGGATGTTCTTCTCAATTGCTGTAGAGAAGCGATAAAAGGCTGCGACTCAATCCTGAGTTGCACTTTGTGCAAGTCACGGTCAGAGAGCATGATGCTACTTGCCATGGCTGGGCAATACCTGAGCAACATCTGCGAAAAGACAGTTCGCTCCTACGTTGATGTTGTTCGGAAGCTGCAGTCGGGGAACTCTCAGCTTACAGGAGACTCAATGTGGTTCCAGTCATACAAAATCGAGAGCCCAGTGGAGAGAAACCAGGTTCTGAAGTGTCTCGTTACCGGACAACTCACCGAGTTTTGCCTGCTCATTGGAAAGATCAAGGCTAGGTGGGAACGAGGAAACCGCACTTGGCGCCGTTGTTGGGTGCAGAGAGGAAGATTCAGTGTATGAGGACCATGTTGATGCAGTGTGAAAGTTACCGTGGTTCGCGAAGCAGCAATGATTCAAAATCATTGGTGAGATAGCTATTTATGAACATGCTTACCTTAGGTAGCAAACTTGTTATTGAATCGGATGATCCAATTACCTACCTCAGTATCTCCCACTCAAGGCAGAAATATTTCGGAAGTCTACCGGCAGAGGCAAGGTCATCCCCACAGAGGGTTGAGTCTCCTGAGGTTTGCGTCCAACTTTCTCCAACTCGTCTGCCCTGGCCCAGAGCTTAAACGAGGACAAGGGTCTGAACTGTGTTCAGATGCCCCAACCGGATGGTAAAGTTCGTGTCTGCAGAGTTCAACATTGAGGTCAGCCGCGGAATTAAGTATCACAACGTGTCGTATGTGGACATTGTAGGCGAGGCTCGATGGCATGACATCTCGCCCACCGGTTGACGAAAATATGGCACATCTTCACGCCCTGTAGCTTCGCGTCGTAATCACTGTTATCCCGCCGGCAGCGGGGTGTGCTGTCATCAACATTTCCATCATACGATATGCAACCACATGCAATAGAACTCAACGAAGTACCACGATGCACAATTTATATTTTCTAAAGAAGATTGAAAACAAACTCTACGAAGCCTTGACTAGAGTTGAAACATAGCGGCTCTTTTCTCCCATCTTTCCAGCCAGAACGCTCAAGCTCGGACTCATTCGAGACGTCGCAATTATGAACAATAGCTCTGCAGCCACTTGTCTCAAGATCGGTCATGAGAGCCGCGCAGCTTGAATGGGTACGCGCGTTGCGCGAAAGGATGATGAGGTTCTTACAACCGAGGTCCCGTGCCATCCATCACGCTATGAACTGACCAATACCACCCATACCACCAGCAATGAGGTAAGATGCATCTTCCGACAGACGAGCTGGGGCTGAGGAGGGAATAGCCTATTTAGCTGATCAACAATTGGCCAAAAAACTGATAGGTGAGTCTCTTACCTTCACTAAATCTGTCTGCTGTGGTCAAACCACGATCTTCCCGAGGTGTTTGCCGCTTTGCATTAACCGGAAAGCTTGGTCAACCTCAGATATAGAAATGTGGTCATGGGAGAAACCACGCGTAGGTCCCCTCGGCTGAACATCTCCATGACACTCCGAAGAACGTCTTGGACAACGTGACCCCTGAACTTGCCAAGTTGGAACAAATCGACTGCCGCAAATGTTACTGCACGGCGGAGGGGACTCATGTCCAAATTCTTGGCTGCCTCGATGTCTCTCTTACCAATCTCGACAAATCGTCCAAACCTCGCCATGCACGCCCAAGTCTCTTTGAGCAACGGCCCGGCAAGAGAGTTGAGCACAACGTCAACGCCTTTGCCACCAGTGGCAGCCATTAGAGCAGGGCTAAAAGATGAGTCTCTACTGGAGAAGATTTGGTCTTTCGGAATGCCATACTCCTTCATGACGAAGTCTCGTTTGGCTTCGGTGCCAACGGTGGCGAAAATTCGGGCACCTTGTTGCTTGGCGAGCATCACAGCAGCCTGGCCGACACCTCCTGTTGCCGCATGGATAAGAACAGATTCGCCCTTCGAAAGTCGGCCGATATCGAAGAGGCCATGGTATGCGGTGGCAGAAACCATAGGGATTGTCGCAGCCTCCTCGAACGACATGCTATCTGGGACACGAACAGCACAAGGCCAGTTGATCAAGACTCTTGACGCCCAATGTCCGCGTAAGATGGCACAAACTCGGTCGTCAACCTTCAACCCGCTGTTCTTCTCTGCATCCGGGCCCAGTCTAGTGACAATGCCGCTGCACTCATAGCCCATAATGGTTTCGTCGAGTTGACCCAGTGCCACGAGAACATCCCTGAAATTGAGACCGAATGCGCGAGGCTCGATCTCAATCTGATCCTCATCTAAGTCTTGAAGGTCGACTTCCCTAAAGCGTAAGGATTCTAGAAGACCAGGCGTCCCGACTTCCATTTGAAGGTTCAAGCCTTCACCCCGGGTACCAAACGGTCTGATTTCAGGCACTTTCTCAGCAGACTCGGGCGCCAAAGCAATGTTTTCCGATTCGTCGTTGTAGATACGCGTCATGTGAAGGGTGGAGTCTTTCACCGCGTACTCGCAATCGATCACGTTTGAGTTGAGGGAAAAGTCAAAAGAAGCTCTGAAGACATCCCCGATCAGCTCCGCGTTCTTGGCGGACCAATACGGCTCAGTGCTCTCGAGATCGAGGGAGATGTATCGGCGCCCCGCATCCTCCATCCTGAGGGTGCGAAGTAGTCCAGAGTGCAGCGCCATGTCAGGATCAGCGCCGTCGATAAGGCTACCTCGTGCCACCCACAGTACACCCCTAGCAGTTGTCAAGAGCCGCTGAACACGAGTGAAGTCATCCCGACTCAGTCGACTCAGGAGGGGGGTGACTGCTTCTTCAAGCATAATGCAGACTTTGTCGGTAGCATCAACTGACCGCCGGTCTGTGGCTTTGCAACTGACGCCGGTTTTGGACTGAATCTGACACTCCAAGTCATGTACCCAGTCAACAGAGACTGACTCGACTGAGTTGAGCAGGAAGACTTCAGATGGGAACGCCGGTGGTGCAACCGCAGTTGAAGTCATGACACTGAAGGAGTAGTTCGCGTCATCTACCATGTCTCTCACGTCCAAGTCAATGCCACTGAAACCCGTCTTGGCAAGAACCCGCCCCTAGTGATCAAGAGTGAGGTTTGGTCCACCCTTGCGCTCAGCTTCTTCAGCTAGCCACCAGCCAGGAAGGGCTCCAAAGATCAGCTGCACATCCGATGTGTCTTTCGTAGTCTCAACGAGGATGAGTTGTCCGCCTTTCTTCAGGAGTTTACGAACATTCCTCATCGTCTTCTCCATATTCTTTGTAGCGTGGAGAACTTGGCAAGCGACAATGAGATCATAAGAGCCCGCCTCGAAGGATTGCTCGACGGGATCCACTTCGATGTCGAGTTTTTTTGAAGCTGATCATGTCTCCAAAATCATCGAATTTCTTCGCTGCAGCCTAGAAGAACCCAGCCGAGACATCGGTAAAGGTGTATGATGCAAAGCGATGCCGACGATCAGGGGTGTCTCCAGACAAGCCGTTTAGTACTGATCTTCTGCATCCACCGGTACCTCCTCCAATTTCAAGGACTCTGGCACGAGGGTGCTTCATCGAGTACATGTGAACAAACTTTTGCACCTGCTCGTAGGATCTGTTGCATCGCAGAGCCTTTTCATAGAACTCGTACATCAAGTTGCCTTCCATCATCACCTCCAATGGAGCCACTTGCCCCCGGAGAATCCGAGGCAAGTTCTTGCCTACGCGACATAGAAGGCGCTGATTTACGCTCTGGGCAGCAACTTCATCAAAGAGCATGTGCCTCATGCCTTGACTTGTCTTGGCCCATGAAGCACTTCTACGAGCGAGCTTTCCATCAAGACCAGCTTTGTAGTTGACTTCCATCCAATCATAGAGCGACCTGTGATACCGCTCCATGTTTCCGAGCGCAGTTTTGTCGGGACCCAAATCTTGTATGGCATCTCGGATGAAATACCAGGCTGCTCTAGCGAGCTTCTTGTTGACGGACAGCACGGATGGATCAACATCGAATCTGAGTGGCTCTTTGCGCTGATCCTTTGGCATGAGAGAAAAGTCAGGATGCCAATGCATCTTGAACAGCAACTTAGGCGGCTCTTGTTCTTGCTGATTTATGCCTGCACCGCCCACTGCCTGACAAAAGAGACCTTTGACTTCCAAGATTGGGGCCCCCGGGTTGTTCAGCTCATGTGTCGTTATGGAAGACCGAAAGCCCGACTTATCGCAACGATCATTGTTGCAAAAGACTCAAACTTGTAGTGGGGAGTCGAAGTAATAGCCTGCGAGACGTAGATGTGCTGGATGGCTCTAGGTATTACCATCGAATTCTGGAAGTCTTCGGAGGAAAGTGCAGAATAAGCTCCTTGGAAGATTGAATTCAGCGTGGTGGGGTGGAGAAGATTGTAGCTCGAGTTCACATTCGCTACTTTGAACTGAAATTTGGAACCAGAGTCGTTGGCCTGAATGCTAAGCATGTTCTGGAATGTCGGACCATGCTGCAGACCCATCTTCCTCAGGCGAGCGAACAAATAGTCGATTTCCACCTTAAGGGGATGAGCTGAGTTGGCTTGGCCGATAGCATCACCTCCATCTACAACGGAGGGCAAGGCGGCCTTTGATTTTTGTCTCTGGGAGATGCACCCGCGGATATGCTCATTCCACGAATTACCGCCGCTGCTAGGTGATTTCAGAGAGAACTCATACCATCCCGGCTCCAGATTCTTGTCGTCACAGGGGTGCAAAGACAGCCGAACCTCGATTCCGGCTTCTGTATCCGGGATAACTAAGGCATTGCTGATCTGGATATCCCTCAGATAATAACCGTCCAGAGTCTCGGTCGGAACTTCAGAGTATTGACATAGAGCTTCTACCGGCATGGAGATTCCGCCGGCTCCCGGGTAAACGATGTCAGACTGGACCAGATGGTCTTGAAGCCAAGGAAGATCGTTCGCTTTGAGGAAGTGCCTCCAAATTGGGTTGCTCGAAGAGGGGCCTGGCAGCAAAGACCCGAGTAGCTCATGGCGAACATGCTTCCGCATGCGATGAGCAACGTTCAGGCGCGACCACCTGTCGGGGGCGAAAGCGGGGACAAATCACCTAACAGCGAGGTGACTGACAACATGGAGATGAAGCACCAAGATCTCAGTCCGACTGAGTCCGGAAGAAACGATGTTTTCAATAAGCGTAACGACACCATCTGAGCGCAGCATGGGTCGAGGGAGCACATAAACTGAAGAAGGTAGAACGGAGTCGCATCCATGTAGTTATCATATACTGTAGATGAATAAGGTAGTTACCATACCGGGGTCCCTGAAAATCGGAGTTTTAGTGTCGTATCGGCTCTCATCTATTTGGACTTGCCAACGTGAAATGCAAAGGGCAAATGGAGTAAAGGAAGCAATATTGGACAACAAAATTGAACTCAATTCAAAACGTCAACTCTGTCACTAAATACAGTAATTAAGACTTTATTTGTAGTACAACCATCTTGACGCAGTCTTTGGCCGAGCGTGTGGAGCAACACGGAGCCAATGTGGGGCCGATCATCGAAAGGCCGCCGGAAGTGCCTCCGAATCAATTGCGCTTGCATTCGACGATGTAGAGTGGGAGGGAAGGCTGATAAGATGATGTGGCAGGTGCAGGTGGGTCACGTGAGGCAGCTCCTTCACATCTCGGAGCTGCCCCACCTACACCTTGCCCAGATATCCAGCCCGAGCCTCTCTTCTATGCGAATGGATAGAGGAGACTAATTTCTTTTCCGAAATTTGCCCGAGTCATTGAACAGGAACGTTAGGTGAAGACGGTAGCCTGTAATATAGTTTAGATTAGTATAGACCATGTCGGCATAGCGCCCGGCACGTCCTTTTGTTACCAGACGTTAAATACATCATCATCATCATCATCATCAGATATCCAGCCCAGCCAGCGCTCAGCTTTTCCCATCATCATCATCAGATCCAATACAGTAGTATTGCCTCCACACTTGTATATAGGATGGACTCGATCCGGGCTCTAGTACAGACTTCCCATAGCTCTTCAGCAATTAACTTCGTATCAGGATTAACATCCGCTTTCAGCTATCACCTTGACAAGACTACGATTGATCACCGAAGCCTTACTTTACCTTACGATTGACAGACATAGCTTCCAGGAAGCTATCCGACCGTGACGTGTAATAATCGATTATTACATCGGTTATTACATCAACCAGACTTACGACACTGTTACTGAGTATCGCAGCCTCAACTTCTGCAAACATACCCCTACGACTAGCTGGCCGTAACAGTATTCATCTTAATAGTTTTATATTAGATTGTATTACGCCCGTCTCTAGCTTCCACTCTCTATATAAAAACCCTTGCTTCTACTCAAAGTTCTTCGCTAGCAAGCTGTCAGCCAGCATCCCAATAGCACGGCATTCTGTGTCTGAGTTTTACCTGGCTGTTTCTTCCCGAGCGCTTGTATCTCTCACTGAGCCTACTTTAGATACATCTCCATATGATCGACTTTATTCATACTTTGTTTACTTCGCTTTCTATATCTCTTTATTATAATGTGGATATTCGTAAGTAAATATGTGGCGGATGAATACTAGATCCTACTGGAGCCCTATTCGGATGATCGTGTCCGTTGAGGGACGGCCTCGTCACTGCTACTAATCAACATCCCCCACTCGCACCTCCTCCTTCGAATGCTCGCTTGTAATACCCGTCCACTAGCTCGCACTCCTGTAGATCTCCCTGTACCGAGTTTGCTAGACTGACTTCTAGTATGTAGCTATGATAAGGCCGCATATTAGTTACTCTCTTGCTGCCCTACCTCTTGTGTAAGCCTTGCGATAGTCGCCTTATTACGACTTCCTGGTGGACGGCCTCGCCGAGTTATCTTTAAGGCTGCCGGTGGCGTTTTCCCGCGCTAAGCCCCTAGACTATTATCCTCTCGTATGGCTAATCGAGCAGGGACAGGCTGTGCTATGTTCTTCGGCCTACCACGGAGGGAGGTAACGATCTTAGGGTCTAGAATCCGACGGTATGGATCTCTAGAGGATGTTTCCCTTAGTCTCCAATGAGGATGGACGTCCCACTTCGTAAAAGACGTCCCAGCTGTAAGCCTTGCGTAGATTGTATGGTAGCAAGGAATACCCAGCTCTACCGAGGTAGAACAGTCGTCTATACAATCTCCAATAAGAGGGGGCCGTGGACGATTGCCGGTCGGCAATGCTGTCCTTGCTTTCCGGTATTGCTTTACAATCAACCCTAAGCACTTTGAAGAAAGCATACCTCGGAGTTCACCTAGGTACTCCGAACTAGCTCCAGCGTATTAACGGGCAATTAGCACCTCATCCTCTGCACAGGACTACATAAACCGTAACTCTTGGTCTCGAATCATATCCTACATAACATCAACGAGTCGGTATAAGTGACTCAGGCCATTAAGGAGATAGCCTTTAATATTATTGTTACTAGACTCGGTCCCTGAGGTGACGCGAATACCAAAATTCTAATATTTTCGGATATAGCAGCGAGCCCACTGAGCTCTAACGGGAAGGTATGTCCCGTAAAGATAACGTAATATTGGCCGCTGGTCATCGAACTCCTTATAGAGACTAGCCCATGCTTTCTCATAAGCAACCTCGGTCTCCGCAAAGACAACGAGCTTCCATATTGTAAAGACTCCGAGATATATATAGGGGATTAAATCGTTGGTGGGCGTGTGGATATACGCCTGGTCCTCGTCGCTTAATTCCGTTATGAGTGTTCTCGAGGGTTCATTATCGTCTTCGTGGTCCGAGCTACTGCCGGCACCCTCTAGCCGTTTTCCCTTTACCCACTTCTGCTTAGCCCTAAGCATAACATTGGAGTTGATATGGTGAATGCAAAGTTATTGCTATAGGTCGGCGAACTCGTAAGCTAAGGCGGCCTTCATCTGCTTATCATAGTCGGTAATGATAACATTTAGTAAGCGAATCGAATGCTGGTTAACTAGTTGACGGATGCCTTCTGCGAGGAACTAGAACCTTTCCAATCTCTCGTTATTAATAAGGCCGAATGCTACGTTGAAAATAGATCCAGTACATGTCTGGCTAGTGGCTTGAAACAGCGGAAGCTTAAAGCGATTTGTATTATATATATTACCAAAGCTAATTACCTCCGGGAAGCGCCTCCACATTAAGAGACAAAATGGGAATGTCCATACTAAGCCAACAAGCCGGTTAGGCTCGTCATCAGCCCACTTAACAATATAGGGCACCTCTCGCTCGTCGAAGAGCTTTATCAGAGCGGCTATTGGCGAGTGGCCGTCTAATTTCTCCCTGTTTATAATAGCTCTAGCATTATAGATATCCCGTTAAGTAAACACGGAATCTAAGAATTGTTCCTGAACAATAGCACGAACGTCGCGGGCCCTAATACCAACCCGGCGGCTAGTAGCTTCAATAATACTCTTAGTCAGTAGTATAAGCCTCCGATACAAAGGATGTGCCGAGGAACTAAGGCTTAGCCCTTGGTTATATTAGGCATACTCGGCTTTAGCATGCCGTCGTAAAAGCCAAGCACCCTCTTCCTTCGTCTCAACAATAATCATCCACTTACAGCCATACTTTCGCGATTTTTGTTAGCGTAACCCCGTACCCTTAGTAGGCCGCGGTTTACTAAAGCGGTCGCATTAAAACGTATTTTTTATCTTTTTACCTTTATATATAACTTAACTAGTTATATCTATATCGACGTATAATGCCAAACCCGTTCTCTCTAGCAAATACGTTAACTCGGTCGAATAGGGCATCGACTATGGGCTCTAGTGTTACGACCCAACATGCATGACCAAGAACAGGGCCTGCCCCGCAGGCTCGCGGCGGTTATAATACACCACATATGCAGGAGATAAGATGATGATGATGATGATGATGTATTTAACGTCTGGTAACAAAAGGACGTGCCGGGCGCTATGCCGACATGGTCTATGCTAATCTAAACTATGTTATAGGCTACCGTCTTCACCTAACGTTCCTGTTCAATAACTCGGGCAAATTTCGGAAAAGAAATTGGTCTCCTCTATCTATTCGTATAGAAGAGAGGCTCCCTTAGCAGAACCTAACAAGAAATCAATACTTGCTTTGCCTATACGTTGGCGGAGGTAGCGCGGTGTAGCCTTGCGTCCACGCTTGCAGAAGTAGAAATGGACTGGTGTCTTGGGTTTCCCACAGCTGCAGTTGAGCAACGCATCTTGATGAGCGAATCTCTCGTGGTATGCTGCAAAGTCTCCATGATGGGATCTTGCTGCGTATAGCCTTCTTAGTAAGTGCCGAGGGAGGCGGAGTTCGGGCGGCTTGGGGTGAAGAATTATCTCGAGGTCGGCATATTGCCGAGGGCATTGGGACAGCCATTTTCTGGCAAAGGCTTGGAAGGCAGCTGCTTTAGCTTGCCTTTCTAGGTGCGCTAATGAGGGCTGTGGTTGTGATTTTGGGATTAGTTTGCAGGCTTCCTTGGCTAGAGCATCCGCTTCTTCATTTCCTGGTACTCCCGTGTGCCCAGGGCACCACCAAACATAAACCCTGCCGGGGGTTGTCCAGCTCTCTCTTTGTCTCCGAGTCCAGGAGGAAGAGAGCCTATTGAAGGCCCTAAATCTAGCCTGGCTGCTTCCTGTGCTCTGGGAGTATAGTCTAGCCGCGACTGCGAGGTTGTCGAGGTAGATGTGGACGTTATCTGCTATACGAGCCGTAGGAGCCCGGGTGGCTTCTATCAGGCCGTGATACGCAGCATGTGCCTCCGCGTTATATACCTCAGTTTGGGAGCCGAGTGGTTCGGATCCGCGGAAGATCTGCCGTGTAGCTTGGTACCCTACCCAGCCTGCTCCGGCGGAGGTGCTGCTGCCGTCCGATATTTAGGACCCGTTAGTGTAGACAACAATGTCCCGCTTGGAGAAAGTTGCCATCCTGCCTGCAAAGGAGAGGGCCTGTTCTTCTTTGGTCTTATTAGGTTCGTAGCCGACTCTGGCGAGGGCTGTCTGCCAGTCCGCTAGTTGCTCCCAAGGGGGGAGTTCTAACGGATCGATGTATTCGGTATTTTTGCTTACGAGGCTTGCCATTCGTCGTAGCCGTGAGTCTGGTCCTGATTTGTCCCTGAGTCTCGTTCGGAGAGGGTGTCGCTCGTCCAGACGATGGATTCTGGTGGACGCTGTGTGGAGCTTCGCGTCCAGTATCACCTCTGCTGGGGGTAGAGCCGCCTCGCGCTATAGGATCGGTATAGGCGTCGTTCTATA